TATCCCCTATGTTACAGAAGAAGCTACTAAGGTTCACAGAGGTTACATATCTTGTGAAGGTCATAGCTTCCATGGTTGGAGAAGCCAGTATTTAGAAACCAGTGAGGCCCTGATGAAGGAGGTGCTTTGAAAAAGCAGGACATGATCTCCAAGTGTGCAGCTGTTGCGATTAATAATTTATAGTATTTTTTATGTTTATAATTTTAAAATAGTCGTCTGAGTAGAGGTAATCCTTCATATCCTGATTGTTGGGCTGGGAACCTAGAGGGTGATGAGGGGCTCCCAAGGCAACCGGATGTGGCCAGTGTGGCTTCCTGGGATGCCATGCTCCCTGGTTTGAGCAGATCAACACTGTCTGCCTCAGTACAGCTGCCATTGTTCAGCTACTTCCTCCCTCTGAGGCAGAAGGCAGCAGGCAGCAGGCAGCAGGCAGCAGCAGCTCTCTGTGGGCTCCTAAGGGAGGGAGCCCTTAGCAACACAACTTAAACTGCTGTTCCCAGAGACTCTTCCTGGCCACTGCCCCTGTTAGAGAGATGAGACCACTGCTCTAGGCCCTTCAGGAGGCAGAGGGCGGGCAGGGAACTTGACTGGCTGTCTCTTAGTGGTAATTTTCTCAGGGTGGATGAAAGTTTAAGAAGACAGGATTCACTTTTAGATGTGGGTTTAGTGCCAGCTATACTACTAGCTGTTTAAGAGAGTCATTTAACCCTTCTAAGCCTCGGTTTCCTCAGTAATTACCCATAAGCTGCTGTGAAGGAAATGATGTCAAATTGTTTAGTAAAATACCTAGAATGCAAAGATGCTAGTGATTGTCAATTATTATTATCTATAAAACAAAAGGCTTGGTCTAGAGCAGTGGTTTCAAACTCTGGCTTCACTTACAAATCAACTGGGAACTTCTAAAAGAAAGCCGGCTGCCAGGGCCCCCCCTCAGACGGACTGGGTCAGAACCTCTAAGTGGGGCCCACGTGTCATTAACCAGAGTTCTGCATGTGGCTTGTCTGTGCAGCCAGTTCTGAAGACCACTGCTCCAGGAGATCCCCAAGTTCCCTTCCCAACTTGACAGTTTCTGACTTGACATCTGTTCTCCTTGATTTTTTTTTTTCTCTGAGCAAAAATATGAGCCCTCAAAGTTTTAATGGAAGAAGGGGAGGTTCTCAGTGCTTGGTGAGGACTTACCCCATGGGGAAGTAAGGGCAATGCCTCCTAGCTCCATGTCCACTGAGGTCCTGGAATATGCCCCTGGGACTCACCTCTGACCCATTCTAACCCAAGGCTCCTTCCCTTACCCCAGCCTCATACCATTTGGTCTCAAAGCTGTTCTGAGCTCCTAAATGTCTCAGTTGTCCTTGGAAGCTATTCTCTTCATCCTCTGCCTCACCGTGTGCCTTCTCTTGGCTTCTAAATTGGCCTGTGGAGATCATGCTGGGTGACAGGCAGGTGGCCTTGGGCTCTCACTGTCCAGGTCTGGAGAAGAGAAAAGATAGGCATCTGCTGCCTCAGGTCAGGAACTGGAAGCAGTGAGCTGTTAGCTCGCAATTCCTCCTGCCATCAGGAGATCAGGGCAGGAATGGTGTGAGTAGAAGTGATTGCAGACTGTGTACTCTCTAGAAGTGGGTCCCTTTTGCAGTGTGTTGTGGAACATAGACTTCTGGAATAGAAGGCATCCTAGAGATCTTGTCATCTCCTAATTTATGAGAAGATGAGGCCTAGAAAGGGGAAGGGACATACCTGAAGTCAAACCATGAATGGCAAGTCTGGGACCAAGATCTTGGATGAGTCAGGATGAGGCCGTATTAAAATTTATCCCCACTCTTTCAATTCAAGTCCTCAAAAATAAACTAAACCTCTTCCTCTTTTTTATTTTTTTAATTTTATTGTGATTTGGGTGAAGATTTGCAGAGCAAATTCACTTTCCATACAGCAGTTCATATACACTTTGTCTCATGACATTGACCACAGTTTACCACAATGCAACAGCT